ATAGTTGACTTTATACTATTATTCATTGTATATTAGTTTCTATTTTGGGTTGGCCGATGATATCTACTCAGTACATGTTGCCCTGTACTGAGCCCTACTTGTGTTTTTCTTTGTTTTCTTTTTGTGGAGTGCAGCGAGTGTATCAGTGTCCTCGACTCGCCCTCAGCTCTAGCTATTCTCCAGCACATCAGGTTCCAGGGTGAGCTATTCATTCCAGCTCGTGTTGGATTTTCTTGGTCATGGCATAATGTCCTTAGTTTTCGGACATAAACCATTTTTTATTTTATTTTGGTGTCTTTAATACTCTTAGACTTAGTATTTGAAGATTAGATGTCCTTGATGTGATGACTTCCAGATTTTGGGGATAATAAGTGTTAGACTTTAGAGGTTTATTTGATTGGTTACTTTAATTAGTTTTGAGCTTCCGCATTGTTGTTGTTATTTGTAGTTGAATTATTGGTTTATGTTGGGGTTTGGATTCCTTGGTTTGCCCACTTAGGAGGTTAAGTGTGGGTGCCACTCACAACTCATTTTGGGTTGTGACAGAATCATAAAGTTGATTAATAATCATTGTAGGATCTTCTTATAGACAAGTTCTATATGCCCATCCAAGAGAGAACCGGTCTCCTAGGAAAGATTTTGCATCCCCAAATAATTGGGGGGTTGAAATATTTTGAGTCTATGTAATTGAAAAACAGGATTGTAATAGCTATACAATTATGAATTTTATCTACAAAGGAGGACATCCTATGGATCAAATGAGTGAATATTTACTGTATGAACCGGGAGACTGTGGAAACATGCAACATTCCTAAAAATGATACCTGGGTGATTAGGAAGATAATAGAATCCAAAAAAATTGTCATGTAGGCACCAGAATTCAGGGTCATCTCTTTGCTAGATTTGATCTGTTGACAGTAGGAGCTAAATTTTTCATAAAAAAACTTTACATAACTTTGTTTTCACAACTCCCAAAAGCATCATGAAAATGCATTATTCTTCAGGCCAACATTCATTCTAGACATAAATTCATCTTGTGGTTGGGCTTGTTAAAGAGGCTAAATACTATTGATAGATTTGTCAAATATGAGGTGCAAATAAACTCATCATTATTGCAACAATGCTATGGAAACAAAGGATCATCTTTTCTTTGACTACCTTATCACAAGGACTTTGTGGGACATGATACTGAAATGGATAGGCTTTATGAGGCCTATAGGAACTTGGCAACATGAGGTAGATTGGGTCACCAGCTGGGCAAAAAGAGAGCAAGAAAAGGTGTTACCACATGATGTTGTGTCTTTGCCATTAGGATCACTGTTATTTAAAGAGAAGGGACTATGATCAGGTTTCCAAGAAGTAAGTATCAAGTTGACAGAACTTGTAAGAAGATAGTTGTTCATGTCTATGTCACAGGTAAGAATCAAAAGAAATGGTCTACACAACTTCAATATTTAGCTGCCATGCCATGAAATAGTCTTTTTTGGTGATCTCCTTTTGGTAGTTGTCTTGTTTCTCTACTGACTATATTTTTTTTTCAGATTGTTATTCTTATGTAGTTTGTATTTATTTTTTTGGGATAAGAGTCTGAAAAATACCCAACTTTGGTCGGATTTGCTGTTGCGATACTAAACTTTCATGAGGACCTATTACCTCCCTAGACTATTTAATACCGTATTTTTTACCCCCTGAACTATTTAATAGTGTATTTTAAAGGTAT